ATTCTTAAAAGCGCTATATAAATAAAGGTGACTTGACTTGACTTAACCAAATCAAGAACTATTACTGCTAAAAAAATAAAATAAAATGAGGAATTGTTGAAATATTTAAATACCATATGACTCCCATCCCAAGTTATTCAATGCTGATATATGCCCTGGCTATCCTAAATTCCACACAGGTGACAGCTGTGAAAGCAGCACTGCATACTTGGGAGTAGATTGAGCAAATAATTAGCCTTAATAATAAATTGGGGGGGGGTAATTTTGTTTTGTTCCTTCTAATGTTTTGAGGCAGTTGAGGCGTTATTTTACTTCAAATTCTACCTTGGTTTGGTGTGTCTCCAAAATCGCAATGACAGTACGTGGAACAGCACAAGCTGTAGCATTAACCTAAAATACGGGGAGGAAAAATGTAAGGGTTTTTGACGCTACATCCATTTTTGTGCTGAAGGAATGGTTCTGTTCTTTTAGTTATCTCCTACAATTTATTTACTTTTTTAACAGCACAACAAATAGAATGGAAATACTGCAGACACAAAACCTGGCTTACCATATTATTAACATAGTATTATAAATAGTCTCTTACCGTATGCGCATACTTAAGGTTTCCATCATTTCCCTCATAAAGAATGTTAAGGCGCCGACTCTGGTAGTCTGTGCAGTTTGAGGCACTGGAAATCTGATAAAGGAAGTTGACATTCACCAAAAGGACTCAAAAGCAGACATGTATTCCTCTTTTTATATTTTATATTATTTTTACTCATGAATAAAAATTACAATTACATTGACTCTTGACTTTTTGTTTTAAAGTATCATTCCAACCTCTCCAAAGCTGCCACGTCCTGGCATCCATGCCTCAATATCATATTTTCGGAAGGCAGGAGGCCCCAACTCTTGAGTGGGCATATCCAAGACTCTATGAGAGAAATTGTAATTACCATTTTATCAGCAAGTGCTACAAATCTTAATTGTATTCACTGACCAGTGAGAGCTAGTGCAATGAACGAATATTTCACGATAAATATTTTGTCCTTGGCGTGAACAGACATCAAAAACCACTGTTAGCTTAAAAGCCACTTAAAGAAATGCTATACTTCTATTTTATTGAATTAGTGCAGAATACCATAAAATGAAAGAAAATGAATATCAATTAGTAACACATGACATGCTATGTGATATATTGATGATGGATACTGATAGAAAAATGGTTTGATTGTAGACCTGTAATGAAGTTTTAGGGAAGAGAAAATCTCCTTCTGTAACGTGACAAATTCATCCAACAATTGGGAACTCTCCTCTCCCGTCTCATTCGAAGTCACACCAAACATTTCAACCTGCATGAATAAAAACATAGTAAACATCCTAAAAAGGTTGTTCAGTTAGCACAATGTTCATAGTACTACATTTACATTGATCTTGATATCACTAGTCTTGATCTTGACATGGACAGAGAATCACAACTTTCTTTCAGATTTTTTATTTTCTGTTTTCTGATTACCTTGTTAAAATGGTGAACTCTGTAGAGCCCCCAGGCCTCTCTG